CCATATGGACGGCTTTTGCCGTTTCTATAATAATCATAATAATAATAATAATAATAATAATAATAATAATAATAATAAATTAATAATAATAATAAAAATAATAATAAATATAAATAAAATTATACCATTGACAATAATTATTATTATACTAGCATATTTGGAAACATAAATAATTATTATAATACTAATAACAAATAATAATAATAATAATTATATTAATTGATAATATAGTAATTTCTTAGAAAACCCTCTGGCAAATAGGTGATCAATAAAACAATAACCCTCCGGCAGCGAAAGGGCTAAGGTTAATCAGCACGATTTTTTTTACATTTTGATTTTTTAGGAGGATTTAGCGAAAAATCTCACTATGTACGTTATCTATAAAAATACAGAAGGGCGACGCAAAAGTTTCAGAAAACAAAATCTTGCATGTTAAAATGTGTCATTTAACTGGCCCAAGCAGGACGCTGTATATTTCATTGCACTAAATCCACATGGAGGTATACGTAGCAGACGTAAGAAGACACTCTTTGAATAGCTCTGCTGGGGTTATAGTCGTATAATAATAAATAGATCTAATTGAAAATAATATATTTGCATGGCCTCAAAGTTTTTGACAGTTTTTCTTGTTTTAAAGCTCCACTATTTGAAGAAAAGTCTGTGGTTATACTCAGGTACCCGTTCTTGCCTGAAATAATGTACGGAAGGACACCTTGGGTCTTCCTTCACCAATAGAGATATGGCCTATACTGTGTCGGGGTGACGTAAAACCCAGACAAGCACTACACATATTTGCAGTACATATATTACATATTCTTCGATGTTTGAATATTGTTTTATAAGCATAATTATATACATATATATAATTTCATATAAGTGTGGTATACAACCTCAATTACAACATACGGGATCTTTAAATTAAATATTCTTTAATATTTTACAGGCACCCAGAAACTGATTACATCCTTGATTACTGGTTTCATTATCAACATATCTGTACACGAGAATTAAAGGAGTGAAAATCTACTGTGAAAATGAAATTAAAAGAGTTAAAGGATTTGACAACTTCAGACATCCATTCATGAATGAACTAAGTGAAAGCCTTGCTAAAGATGAGCTTGCTAAAGATGGACATAATAAAACAGAAATTGCTTGGGCTGTTGACTTTGAATGGCGTTTGTGTATGTGTGAGTTGCTTTTTTGAGCAGTACAAGTTATGACACCAGCCCATCGATGACAAGAAATGTTGAAAGAATGCTTAGTGCATATAAAAAGGTGAAAGATAGTGCACAAGTCATTCAGAGGGCAAGGCACAATCAATAAAACTTCTTGGATGATCAAGTTGAAAAACAAGAATTGATTCCATACATGACGTACAGGCTTTAAAAAAGCCAGGATGCAGTTGTTAAAGCTCTCTATAAAAATATGGCACAAGAAGAAAAAAAGAATCATCAGATGAAAGCTAAACAGAAAATGAAATATCGGAAGAAGACGTTGAAGAAGCTAGCAGTCAGACAGGAAAAGAAAGAAAGAAACATATGTGACTTTGATGAATAAATTATTTGTTTATGTTAAATTTGATAATTTCAATAAGAATCGTCAGTGTGGCGAAAATAAACATTTCCATAAAACTGTAAGCACATATACATTCTGTCTTTTTCACTGTTTCTATGGTGAATTTTTTTGATAAATAATACAATTCTATGAATAGTTAAATCCATTTCCAAACAACTCTGAACAGATGCCTTTTGGACACTATAATGGAAGGCATTTTTTGCAGACGGACACACCATTTCAAAGTCCCTTCCATAGGGGGTTACGGTTGTTTTAATTTTATTTTAGCCCAATAATGACTTATATACTGAACAGTACAGTTCAAGTAATAGGCACGTTTATTGGATCTATGTATTTGGTTTATTTAAAATTATTTAATCTATATTTAGTACTCTAGAGCCAAAAGTTATGGAGATTACCGTATAGACCGTGTATTCAAATACGAGATTTTAGTTCAATATCTATCAAGGGACGTAACTGTATTACTGCATCCGGACATTTTCACGCGCGAGAAATTTATTTCGGTAACTCTCATTTATTGTTTTAAAAGGTAGAATGGGACCAAAACCTAAGTTTCAGGATAACGAAAAGGTGTTGTGTTTTCATGGTCCTTTGCTTTATGAAGCAAAGTGTGTTAAGACTGAAGTAAAGGACAGGGTGCAAAATTACTTTGTCCATTACAACGGATGGAACAAGAACTGGGATGAATGGGTTCCAGAAACAAGAATTTTGAAACTCAATGATGCAGGTTTACAAAAACAAAAAGAATGCTTAGCAGCCCTGAAAGCACAGAGGGCAAAAGAGAGGGAAAAAGCAAGGGAGGCAAAGGAAAGTGGCCAACCATTGCCAACAAAGAAAGACAAGAAAAAAGAGAAAGAATCTAAAGATAGGTCTGCAACCCCAACTGTAGATCAATCCAAAAGTAAGCAGAAAGAAACTGATAAGGAAAAAAGTACTCCAAGCCAGACCACTGGAAAGGCGAAGCTGCGAGAAAAGGTGCAGGTAAATTAGATCACTGAAAACATTGAATTATCCATAGTCATTTGTTATTGACCTTTCGAATTTGGAAGTGGCTAGCCGTACGGGTCCGTACGGCTAGCCAAAAGTTCCAGCCGTACGTGAGTCACGTACGACTAGCTAGGACACACTGTATTGGCTAGCCGTACGGCACTTTTCAATATTATATGGAAGTTGAAAATGCATATGTTATTTTATGACTTTAAGTGAGGATTTCAACCAAGAAACAGCAAATGTCTTCGTATGTTTACTTTTTAGAGATTAATCGCAGTTAAATAACATCAATTGAAATAGTTTACACAATTTTGATAATAATCCTCTTTTGTTTCATTACGTTTAATTTTTAAATTGAAAAAAAAAAAACTCCGAAAATAATCGTTGTTGGGCTGTGATAATTGCGTCAATTACCGACGGTTAAGAAGTTTGTCCATCATTAAGGAAAGTTTGCATGTTCCGTGGAACGCATTCTAAAATTCTATTGTCAGTCCCTGGGTAGGCTTTAATTAAGGCTAATTAATTGATTGTGCTTTTATGTTTGATATTTATCTATTGTATTTGAAAATTATTATATTTTTTGCCTTTTCACCGTTTATTTTTTTCAATATTCTTTTTATTTATTTATTTATTCCACTCCGATCATTATTTATTCGATTCATATGTTCTTAATTAACAAAAAAGATTTAATAATTCATCTAAAATACAAATTTTCATACAAATAAGACAACAAATCATAAGCATGAAAATCAAGGACGTTATAACTTATAAAATGCAATTTTGACACTTATCAAGATAGATTATACAACGCTTGTTAGTTTTCATTTTTTGTTTTACAAAATGGCGGAGCATCTTTATTAAAGTGAACACACTAGGACAGATGCGGAGACTTGATTTAAATCCTCGTTTAAAGACACAAAATAACATATGCATTTTCGACTTCCATATAATTTTGAAAAGTGCCGTACGGCTAGACAATACAGTGCGTCCTGGCTAGTCGTACGTGACTCACGTACGGCTAGAACTTTTGGCTAGCCGTACGGGCCCGTATGGCTAGCCACTTCCTTCGAATTTGTAATACTAATGTTTGCCTAAAATTGCCATTAATAATGATTAATTAGCCACATGTTTGAATATCCTTATACAAATAATTCCATGCAAAAAATATGTATATGTAAATTCACAAGTTAATATTTATTTATTATTGCAGGTGCCCTTAGGACTACAATTTACAGATTTTTATAATGTTCAATTTAATTTGTGCAAAGTTTAAACTTTGAGAAAAATAGTAAAGGACAAATAATTTTGTAACACAACAAGATTATCCACTTTAAGTGGTTAAATTATGATAAATAGTAATAGAAAATAGGAATGTCACTCAATAAAGCTATGAATTGCATTCAATGTAATTCCCCAGAGCTAAATTTGTAACATACTTGAAAACCGTGTTTATCTAGGTTTTCAAAAAGTTCAATATTTGATCAGTTGAAAAAGAAATTAGTTGAATAAGAAAAAAATCTCTACATAGTACAGTTTTTAAAATTAAATTGCGAAAATAATTGATACATTAATATTTTGTATTTGTTCTAAAAGAAATTATTTATATTAATTATTTCAGCAAGAGGTAGAGAAAGAGACACGTTCCTCAACACCAACCCTGTCAACAGGCACTAAAAGGCAAAAAGAAAAAGAAGCTGTTGTTGAGAAAGATCGGTCTTCTCGCTCGTCCACTCCAACCACAGTACAGACATCTAAGACACGCCAGAAAAGTGAGAGAGTTGTCGCTGCTGCAGCACAGTCACAACAACAAAGTTCCCAAGAATCAACAGGTGCATCAACACCAACCTCCCAGGTGTCAACTGAGCAGAAACGTAAACGCGCTCGTCTCGATCCAACAATAGAATCAGAAGAGTCATATCTGACAAAAATTGAGGTCAAAGTTAAAATACCAGATGAATTAAAACCTTGGTTAGTGGATGACTGGGATCTTGTAACTAGACAAAATCAGCTTGTGTCATTACCTTGTAAACACACTGTGGACAGTATTCTAGATGATTATCTAAGACTAAAACTAACTAAACCAAATCATCCCAACAAAGACACTATAATTGAAGTGAACAATGGAATAAGGGAATACTTTAATGTGATGTTGGGAACACAATTATTGTACAAGTTTGAGAGACCACAATATGGACAGGTACAGTATTTTGTCACCCTTTCAGGAACTGTATTTTATTAACCAGGTTTTCAATTTTGAAAATCCTGGTTATTAGATTGGGGTATGGCGGGCGGATGGGCGGGCGGGCGTCAAACGAAATTGTGTCCGCTCTGTAACTCTTCAACCCTTTGAAGAATTTTGATGAAACTTCAGACAAATGTTAACCACATCAAGATGACGTGCAGAACGCATGTTCCGCATGGCTGGCTCCAAGGTCAAGGTCACAGTGACATTAACATTGAAAATCCTGTCCGCTCTGTAACTCTTCAACCCTTTGAAGAATTTTGATGAAACTTCAGACAAATGTTTACCACATCAAGATGACGTGCAGAACGCATGTTCCGCATGGCTGGCTCCAAGGTCAAGGTCACAGTGACATTAACATTGAAAATCCTGTTTACATGATTTTAACTTGATTTGGCAGTCAAAGGTCATATCATCTTTGGAGGTAATTTAAAAAAGATATGATATATTATTTCATGTTCTACTTTGTAACTTGAAAATTTTAAAAAATTTGAACTTTTTGAAGAATTTTAGAGCAAGCGTATATTTCTATATGATGTTGACCTTGAATGACTTCATCCTGAAGATCTCATTGAATCCATCTCGGAATTTAGCGCAATTTTTAATGAAAGTCGTTTTCACATGTTACTTACATGTGAATGCTATGTTTGAATAATGTTATTTTAACCAGGTTTCCGAGGAAAAAACTGGTTATTAGATTGAGGTATGTCGGGCGGGCAGGCGGACGGGCGTAAACAATTTCTTCTGTGCGCAAACTCCTCCTACATTTCTCAACGGATTTTGACCAAACTTTCACAGAACCTTTGTCATTAAGTGCCCTGGCGCATATTGTCGGGGTTTTGTGATTGGATAATATTTGACCTAATTATGGCCCTTTGTTTTTTTTTCTTATATAGAATATATAGTGAACAATTTCTTCTGTGCGCAATTCCTCCTATATTTCTGAACGGATTTTGACCAAACTTTCACAGAAGCTTTGTCATGAAGTGCCCTGGCACATATTGTCGGGGTTTTGTGATTGGATAATTTTTTACCTAATTATGGCCCTTGTTTTTTTTCCTTATAAAGAATATATAGTGAACAATTTCTTCTGTGAGCAACTCCTCCTACATTTCTCAACGGATTTTGACCAAACTTTCACAGAAGCTTTGTCATCAAGTGCCCTGGCACATATTGTCGGGGTTTGTAATTGGATCATTTTTTACCTTATTATGGCCCTTTGTTTTTTCCTTATACAGAATATATAGTGAACAATTCCTTCTGTGCGCAGCTCCTCCTTCATTTCTCTACGGATTTTGACTAAACTTTCACAGAAGCTTTGTCATTAAGTGCCCTGGGGCATATTGTCGTTTTTTTTTAATTTGATAAAAATAGGCATAATTATGGACCTTTGTTTATTTTCCTTATATAGAATATATAGTGAACAATTTCTTCTGTGCGCAACTCCTCCTACATTTTTCTACGAATTTTGACCAAACTTTCACAGAAGCTTTGTCATCAAGTGCCCTGGCGCATATTGTCGGGGTTATGTGATTGTATAATATTTGACCTCATTATGGCCCTTTGTTTTTTTCCTTATACAGAATATATGGTGAACAATTTCTTCTGTGCGCAATTCCTCCTACATTATTCGTGATTTACATTGCACATAGTTACATTGTTTGTTGCTTGTAATTGTATTTCAACTACAACATATTTATCTACAATGGTGATAATTGAAAACCTGGTTTCATGGCATTGCCATGTTTCTTGTTTAAAATTATTTTCTTGGTTTCAGTTTTCAGTGCACAGTGACATTCTTCAGTTAAGTGTCCTGCACAGAAACATTGTTACAATTGTAAATTTTCAAAATCAGCTTTTCGATAGAGGTCAAATTGCACCGTTATTTATTAAATGTGTTTGAGATAGCTTTTAAGCTTATATGTATTTGACAAATCTTCAAAACTATATCTACATAGTACATTTTATGACAATTATAGTTCATACCCAAGGAATGACATGATTTTCACTTGCTTTAACTCTAAAATTCTTTGGTTAAGAAGAGTGATGTTGCAGTTTGAATTTTTTATTCAGTTTTAAAAGCAAATGATAAAAAATGTTAAAAATACTAATCTATACAATTGGGA